GTATAAGGCGTTCAATACTTTTATAGATGATTTCTTTGCTTTCATCATCACATGCCTACCGCGCATAGGGTAGCATGTTTGCGTGATGATGTTGTGTTCCTTATATATTATATCAGCGTTGGCTCTATCCAGTGGACAAGAATAGGCTGGATACAGGACATGTAATTGAAGAAAATACTGAGACTGAGAAAATTATGACGTCTTCGCGTAATTCGAATAAAAGAACAACTAATGTAGAATTTGTCTGACAAAGGACTATATAAACTTTAACATTCCTTATTTTGAGTAAAGAAAGATGTAGCACGAAATAAATGCACAAATGTTTTGTAACTTAACTATGCTATTGGTTTTTATTTGTATGTCGTGATATTTGGACGAATTTTGTGAAGAAAAACGACGTAATGATACATTTGTGTATTGTATTTACATTATTACTTTGAGAAAGTGACCCGTAAGTCATTAATGTTATAATAAAGCTTGATTTCGGTGCAGTTGAAAATAATAGTAGTTTCTAAAGAATTATACTAGGTGTAAAATAGCTATAGAAAGCTCTAAATTTATTCAAATAAGTATCTACCTTAAAGTACACCGATCTTACAGAATTCTGTTTAATAATGGTAAGGAGCAGGGTTGCGAGATTTTAAGTTCAAAATTTTAGATTTTCAATTTTATTTCATTGGGATTAAAATTAAACTCTGAACTTTTAACTCTGATTTTGGAAATTTTAATTCCATCTTGGATTAAAATTGAGAATATATTTTTAATTTAAAGATTGGCGTAGCAAATAAAATTACTTGTCAAATTAAAAGCTGGAATGAAGAAGGATAAAAGGAAAGATTTATATATTATTCTAACTGAAACACTATAACTAAAACAATTATGTATAAATAAGATAAAAGAAACAATATTGATATTTCAATAAAATAAGCATTTTATTACAAGTATCCGATTTTCTTCAACTGCAAATATTTTTCAAACCAGTGTTTGAGATTAATTTTTCTATCGGTTATTTGGGATTTAAAATTTAAAATTATAATAGTTTTGTTCACCTAATGGTTATTTGCATCATCTAAAATAGTGGAGCTAGATATAGCGTTATATGTCTATAAATGATCAGGAGCGTTGAAATCTGAGTGACGTCTGTCGTCCGTCTGTGCAAGTGATAACTTAAGTAAAATTGAGGAACCTTAATGAACACGTGTTTGTTGGACGCGTTGAAATCTGAGTGACTGTCTGCCTGTCCGTCTGTCAAGTGATAATTAAAAATTGAGGAACCTAGAACACGTGTTTGTTGGCAAAAAGTGAGGACGAGTCGTAGATGTGCGTAGTCGGACCACGCCACGCCCACAAAACGCCATTAATTGAAATTTTATAAATTGCCATAACTAAGCATTAAATTAAGATGTGGAACTGTATTTTAATTCACAGTAGAGTAAAACACGTCAAGTGGACCCCATTTTCCACTTGATCATCGAATTTGAATGTGAGTATTTTTCATAAAGTAGTCATCGCAAGTACTCTGCTCAGTTTTTAAATTTTAATTTTAACAACAATTTTTAATTGAAAATTTTTCTACTTTAGTTAAAAATTAATAACTAGAAAACTATTGGTGATTTTTAATGAAATTTTCAGGAGTTATAGTTCAAAACTTTATTTTGAAAAATATGTATGAATTTAAATAATTTTTCAAATTGTTAATTAACTTTTAAGTTAAGAAATGAAAATTTTAATGACTTCTCCTCAAAATATAAAAATTTTTAGTATTTTGCAATAAACATTAAAGTAACGAAAAAAATTTTACCGATCGCGATTAGATTAAGCAAAAATGTATATGAGGCTAGCGCTCGGTATAGCGCTGCAGGTATAGGTTCAACGCAACACTTAGAGTGTGTTGCATATTTCATTTGTGTTGGGATGATGGTCTCACATTTTGAATTAGCGAATGTAGAACAATATGCATAATACCTACCGCTTAATAGTTTCAAAGAAATACTTAAGACGGAATTCCCTAATCCACCAGAATGTATTGAATACCCGCTATTAATATTTCAATGCCAAATTTTAACTGGAATGTCCTATTCTTGTATTTAAAATCCAATTTTTACCCATATTTTTCTATTCATTATAAAACACCCATAACATTACAATATTGTTTAAATAAAATGATATTCGAACAAATCCTTTGCGGTTAAAAGAAATAAAATGAAGCATCTTAATATTTTATGTCCCAGATATCTACAAGTATGTGAACAACAAAGGAATATCTCGAGCATTCATAATTCGTTGATAATTAATCATGAGCCTCGTTAATAAATGCTGCACATTTAATTGGATATTAAAATGGATATTAAAAATCTGAGGATGGAGAATTATCGTTTGCCTTGATTTTCTAAAAATTATACTTTTACTGTTTAAAATGCATCCAATCTCATCATTGGAATACCAGTCATACATCACCTTACGTTGTGTACTATAGAGAAATGAAGAAATGAAACAAAAATACGGTAATTTCGGAAAAGTTACAGACGCGAGCTCAGTTCACCTTTTATTTAAATTGATAAAATTTCTAAACAATAATTTTGAGCGGATAAAATAAAAAGATTTCCTATTTTCGGAGAGCTGTTCTCAGTACAAAATAAGTATAATTTTTGAATTTAATGAATCATAAAAGATTTCAACGTGTACGCGGAATGAAATTTTGCTCTACTCATGGGAAAGGAGCATGTGATTTTGGCAGGTGGTTTTAAGAGGCAAGCTTTTCGTGCAAGTCTTCAACGAGAAAGCGATAAGCACATAACCAATGCAACTTCATTATTTGAAGGGGAAGAATGCAACTAAAACAATTAACTGGTTTTGCTCTCTAAAAGATCATGACCCTGAGAAGAAGTTTAAATTACGTTATGACCGATGTGACCATAAAAATACCCGCCAATATCATCACAGAGCTGAATATATGAGAATATCATCATTACACTCGAGTGCAAAGATTTCGCCAAAGGCATTAAAATCGTTACCACAAGTTGAAAAGAAATAAAGCAATACGTATAAGTTATAAGAATTAATTTAAGAATTATTTAACTTCTTTTTGTTTATTTATGAAAAACTATTTAATTTATTATCTTTCATTTGTTGAAATAAAATTAATCATAAAATAACGATATTTTTAATTAAAAAATGAAGTAGTATTCTTTATTTATAATTACTAAGTAATTCTAAAGATAAGTCAATGACTAAGATACTCAAAAATATTCAATTTAAAGAAATTATGAATTTTTAATACTTAAAGAATAGGACATTCCAGTTAAAAATTTGGCCTTGAAATATTAAAAGCGGGTATTCAATACATTCTGGTGGATTAGGGAATTCCCGTCTTAAGTATTTCTTTGAAACTATTAAGCGGGTTGGTATTATGCATATTGTTCTACCACATTCATGCTAATTCAAAATGTGAGACCATCATCCCAACATACAAATGAAATATGCAACACACTCTAAGTGTTGCGTTGCCGAACCGCTATACCGGCAGCGCTACCACCCGTCATAAAAATGTTTTTTTGCTTAATCTAATCGCGATCGGTCAAATTTTTTTGCGGATTTCGTTACTTTAATGTTTATTGCCAAATACTAAAAAAAAATTTTTTAATTTTTGAGGGAGAAGTCATTAAAATTTTCATTTCTTAACTTGAAAGTTAATTAACAATTTGAAAAAAAAAAATTAATAAAATTCATACATATTTTTTCAAAGTAAAAGTTTTGAATTATAACTCCTGAAAATTTCATTAAAAAATCACCAATAGTTTTCTAGTTATTAATTTTTTAACTAAAAGTAGAAAAAATTTTCAATTAAAAAAAAATTGTTGTTAAAATTAAAATTTAAAAAAACTGAGCAGGGGATTACTTGCTTATGATGACTACTTTATGAAAAAATACTCACATTCAAATTCGATGATCAAGTGGAAAATGGGGGGTCCACTTGACGTGTTTTTACTCAGTAGCAAGTGGCACCTGTGAGTTAACAATTTTGGAAAAAGGGCCGTGGACCCACCCTCTAAAAGGTTTAATGTACATATCTCCCAAACCATTCAAGCTAAAATAACCCAATTCACTCAGAACAAATCCCTTAAGCACTTCTACCAACACTGTAGAAATGCGTAAAATCTGAAGATAGCCCCGCCTAATCTACTAGAACGGAACTGTGAAAAATTACTTAAAGAGCGATAAATTAGTAACTAAATACGCCGGAGACATTAAATTTTACCCCCGAGATGGTATGCGAGGACTTTATAAGAGCCGCGGTAAAAATTGGATGATGGGCGTACCACCGCCCACTTTTAGGTGAAATCACATACATATCTCAGGACCTGCTAATGTCTTTAAAGTATTTATGACAAACACTTCATAAAAACCCCTGATCGAAAGGTAAGTTTTATTTTGAGAAAATAATGATTATTAATAATTTTTATTTTTTTTCTCAAAAATAATGATTATTTATAATAGTTTAAATTAAAATTAATCGTTATCGGTGAAGAAAATCGTAAAACGCAATATGTAATCATTATTACGTAATTAAAAAAAAAAACTCATAATGCTTACGGTCTCTGATTATGAATGGATGAATATGGATCTTTTGCTACAAAATAACATTTTTCTAAACGAAATATTTTTATATGATTACTTGATAGTATTAACGGTAGTGGCGAAAATATTCATACCTGCCAAACAATTAGAAATTAAGCGAATCTGTGGTAGTTCAACCTGTAGTACCATGGCTAGCTCATGTTTTAGGAACTACATAACCAGACGACCTGAATCATGCATCGGATTATCTGCTCAATTGATAAGCTCTTAGGGTGCCTGCAGAGTGGATGCTGAAAGCCGAGCGGAGCGCAAAGCTGAATTATTTTCGGTACATGGGTCTAATCAGTTGTCGGGAGTGTACAAGTCTATACAAATATTCACATTGTTAAGGTTGTAATATAAAAATGAAACAAATATGTACGTAGTTTTTTATTTGTGGCTTATAATTACTATGTACTTTAATTTTGTGCATTTGACTTATAAATCATGACATTTATTTATTTCATCGAAAATGTTCATATAAAAAATTTGTAGACCAATACATGCATACATACATATCTACGTGTACCCTTTTTTAAAGAGGTACTGAGACATGTGTGTATAGGCTATATAACTTTTATGCTACTAATCTAAATGAGAATGAGCGGATGTTTTAAAGGTTTTATATCGAATCGGTACATCTGAGTTTTCAAATGCATACTCATTGCAATTTCTGCGTTCACAGCATGAGTGCGTTCGTTAGCTTCGGAATAAATATTTATATGCATATGTTCGTTTATGACATTGTAATATTAAAAGTTAGTGCTCAAAAGTTTAGCCTGAATCCAAAGCCAGTGTTTCAAATTGCGATTCAATGTCACAAATGATGGTCGAAAATGGTTCATGATATATACAATGTGCGTTCCAAAGTAAACAGGACTTTTAAAAAAAAGACAGAACAAATGGTTATCGACAAAATCAATTAATTTTATTCAAAATAGTCTCCTTCTGCTTTAATACAGCTTTTTGCACGGTCCGAAAGCATGTCGAACGAGTGTTTTAGCTCGTTGCCCGGTATGGCCGCCAGTATGCCGGTGCAAGCCTTTTGAATGGCCTCCACGTCCACATAACGCTTTCCTTTCATCGGCAAATGCATTTTTCCGAAAAGGTAGAAGTCGCACTCATGCACTCTGCTGCGGGATAGGCAATCGTCGCCATAAACTTGTTTCATCAATTGAAACGTTTCGGTAAAAGTTTTACCAATTTAAAACAAAATTTAAAGTTGGCTTTGGGAAAGTTGTTCGAAGCTCATTTTCGCACCGTTGACAAAAACATACTGACACTTAAAACGCAATAACTTCACTTCCAATAGATGAAATGTCATGAAATTTTTACTGGAAGTCGATAAAGGATAACAGATTCTAATGCACTAGTCGACATATAGATGGCGCCACCAGAGTTTACTTTTTTACTGTTTACTTTGGAACGCACCTTGTATGTAAGTACTTATGTATGTCCATGCGTGGATAAATAGTTAAAATTTTTATTTGTACCTTTTATACATATGTACATCTAGGTATGTGTATACCATATACTCAAGGGAAATGATAACTGGCAGACAGTTCACTAGTTCAGACACTAAATAGACGCAAACTAGTTGCGCAAGATTATACTGAGCGCGACTTTATGAAGAGATGACTGCCGCGTATTGCGATGGGTCATAAATACAAAATTTCTAGAGGCTACTTCGCTACTGGTAAACTGTAACGGTAATAAAAGTCTTACAAAAAAAGGGTAATGGTGCAGGGGGCCATAAAACTGAGCCGCCTGAACAAGTTTTGCACTAGAGTATTTCCTTGCGGTATGTCAGTGTACATATGTATAACAGTTAATTTTTTTAATGAAGTTGTGCATGTTGATTGATTACAAACTTAAGGAACAAGAGTCAAATGTAAATGAAAAAGTAATTAAATACATACATATGTACATGTATACGTTAAACATATACAAATATTATATTACAATACTTAAATTAAGCGATACGCTTTTTTCGACTAGGAGACAGGATTTTCAACATGGTTACGACGGGTGCTTCGAATGACATCGACACTACAAACGATAACAGATACGAGGCCACCACGAGTCCGAAGAACAATATAACCTGTGTGGAAAAATTATAATTTTATATTATTACATATATCTTCAGATATTTCCAAGAAGATACTGCCAACATACCATTGTGTCACCGCCCAGATGAAGGGGGGCATCGGTGTTCAATGCCATGGATCGTATGACAATCGGATGTACGAGATATGCGCAATAAGTGACCCGCGAGAATGGATATAGGCAAGGAGCTGAAAGCAATGTATTTATGTAGCCGCCATATCCTGTGGAACAAGCAATAGTAATCCATGCCAGCGATAGAGCCCAGGCTGAGTGACTAAGTGAGCTGTACGCGGCTGCCATAAACTGTGACAATTCGGCACGATACAACCCGAACACGAGAACAAATAAGTTGAGCATGGCCAAAACCCAGAGCGTGGCTACCGTTAGACGTGGTAAACGAATTTTACAGTTGGTACGGAATAGTATCCAACCAACAGACATACCAATAAGGTAAGGACCCAGACGTGTCCAGGGCTTGTCATAAATTTTATCGAAGAGTGCTAGCGGATCATCAGTATCTGGACGATGGTTGTTCGTAAACGCTATGACTGCCGTGGTAATCCACGACGATACCAAGAAAAATAGTGTGGTGAATGCAGATAACTTGAAATGCCGTACGCCAATAATTAGGATGATAGCACCGATTATATAAAACTGTGTGTCATTGGCCAGATACCAACTCCATAGCATACACTGCGAAGGAACAAATTTCAATTAATTTAGATAATTTTTTATTCAATTAAGTTATCGTTTAGTGAAGTAATTTTGCTTACCATTTGATCTACTGGAAAGAGTGTGTTTATGTACAGCAAGTTACGCCACCAATATTGCGGACAAGTTTCGTGATCCATAGTCGGAGGATCGAATATTGAATAGGCTGCTAAATATTTCATGGATACTTGCACCACGCCGAGCACAAACATGTAAGGAGCTGTTAACCTACGAATTGTAAATTTATTAATGTTACCACTCACATAATCTGAGAGTACAAACCTCATAAAACGGTAGGCGACTAATCCGAAAAAGTGTGCAGTACCAGCTGCCAGCTCACTCGTTCCTTTCGTGAGTTTATTAAGTTTTCCTTTGGCGTTCGTGCGGAAATACAAATATGAAACCAAGAAACCACTAATAAAGAAGAATGTGTCCACGCTGAATGGTCCGTTGGTGATGGCCTGAAAGAAGAAATTTTTCTCCACTTCCTTGCGCATCTCCATATTGTCGGAGTATTTGAAAACCACTATGCAAGTGTGACCTAGTATGACCCATGCCATGGAAAAGGCACGTAAACCATGTATAGACGGAATAGTGTCTGCACCGACGTTTCGATCACAGATCGCATTGAAATTGGTAATAGCTGAGAATGATAATAATAATTCGGAGTAAACGCCTAGTTTTTCCGGTTCGTGCAGATGGCCTTCCAGATGTTCATCCGAAGTGCTGTTGCTACTCGAAGGACCGCCAGTTATCTCATGTGGTATGTTCAGCACTATATTCAGTTCGTTAAGGGATTCCTTGATGGACTCTTTTTTGAGCGACTCATGAGCCAGTGAATCACTGTAATCAGAAGAAGGACAGCCAATGCCAGAGGAGGTTTCGCTGTTATTCATCATTTCTTTGTCCTGACGACGTAGTGCTGCTTTCAAGCGACGGGTCAAGTATATTTCGTATAATGTACCAGCGGTTATAAGTGTGAAGACGAAAGATGTAACAATTCTAAAAAAATAAATAATTCATTACTCCTCTATAAATATGTACATGTATACATAGTAGATACATGTATAGAATATGAGTTAAATGGGAGAGAAAGATTTTTATTTTTTTATATTTAATTGTCTTGTTCTTAATGAATGGCTAATATAGCAAAAATTGTGTGTCTAAATTTCAAGTCGATTGGAGCACAATTAACGAAATAATGATTATTTTTGTACATATCGTATGAAACTTTCACATCAGATTTCAAAACTTTAAAGAATTTTCCCAACAACTTACAGTTTCAAAGTCAGTGCCCCTCATAACTTCAAAACGATTGCACCGATCGTTTTGTAATTTAGAACACTATTTCTCTACATAATTTACAAGTTAACGCTTGAGAGTTCAAAGTATCCCCAAAAAGTGTAAAATTTAAATTTTGAAAAACTCCCCTGCGTTACCTGGGCATGAAAATAAACTTCAAAACTCTCGCTCAACTTCATAATATGTGTATCAGCCTCTAAACTTACGCTACTAATAAGTTTTTCATTTTTTCTTTCATAGGGGTTATTATAGACGTTTCAATATAATGAACTTTCTCATCTACATACAAAAAGGCATAATTATGAGCAATATATATAATTCATATAAGAATGCAACTATCTAATTATAATACTTTCATTCATTAAAACTTACATTAGAATCCAAAATGTTCGATCATCGTACAAGTTAAACTTCCTGTTTGTGGGCATGCGCACATCCAAAATGTTCACCGTCCGTGTTGCCGAGGGTGTTTGTGTGAATTCTGCTAAAGTATTGACTTCTTTGGTTGAACAGCTGGAAGGTAAACAAACGCCAACGTAGATGGTTCGAGTCTAAAATTCAAACGAAAAAAATTTACACTTAACACTCAAAAATACACAAATATACAAGTATGTACATTAATTAAGTGACTATTTACTATATTATTTATATCTTACTATGGAGGCACCTATACCTGCGTTTAGCAAAGGATAATTTCTTTTTCAAATAAATTAACTGATATTAGCACCTCCGCGCAAGCGCATCCATTTAGAAGAATAAATGTTTGATTTTAAATCAAGTATAAATAATTATCTTTTATAAATGTATATCCCTAGGCTACAGTTTGGTTTACTGTTCATACCGTTTATTGCAAGCAGATAACTCTTACTACTTCCGGGAGGAAAATATTCTTATTCTTCTTTTGAGGAACTACTTATACCCATATTAAGTGGTACACGAAGCGATTACATTAGCGATCTTATTATTCCATCCCTGTAAACTTCACACGATCAGTTCCAATATTGGGTCTGTCTTATGACTAAAATCATGGCGATAGTGCATATGGTAGTTCTTAACTATTCAATTGCTAAAACAGAAGGAACAAAATAGATAATGAAAAAATCATATACTATCGGAATTTAAAATTGTGTTACATAGTAGTATGGTTGTAGTGTCATCGACCATTTTTAAACTGTATATAATGTCAAGAGTATGTTAGTCGACCAGTTGCTGAAGTATGAGATTAAGACTAAAACGGCAACGCCCTTTACATAACTTTTATACCGATTCACATGTAAACCTGCTGTGTTATTTTTACGGTAAAATCTAAAGCTTCGGAATATTTTTCGATCCGCAGTTATATCATTTTTAGTAGTTTTGGACATAATCATTGTGTGAGAAGTAGGCGTGGTTATTATCCGATTTGCTCATAAAGCTTAAGTAGCTTCTGAAATATGTACCAAAATTTATTAGTGGGTGAGACCACTCTCAAAAATGTTCACACCACAGATGATTTTTTTCTCTGTGATCCAAATAATAAATTGAAGTGGCACTTAGTTTTTGACGTAGTTATAACTCTTTATAATGAGGAAATGAATTCGTCGCAGCATACTGATAATTTTTATATAGCATATAACCCTACCGTTAGATGCACAAAACTATTATACTCTCTGCAACATTTAGTGAAAGTATAGAATAACGTCGACTTCAATTCAGTTCCTGAATAAAAGTTTTGCAAAAATTCTTTTTAGACATTTTTACGGCGGATGGGCAGCATTCATTGGAGTTTTCAAAGTAAAACTGAGCAAAAATACCAATGTTAGCTAGCAAAATCTTGGGTCATTATCTTGAAATTTCATATATAATATGTTAAGCATGATTCACTAGATAAAATATAATATTTGTGAAAAAATGTATTTTGTTAGGTTTAGCTTCGCTCAGTTTTGTTGTATTTTTTGGGGTCCTTTCTGCAAAATTTTAGACGAATGATTTTTTTGGTAGAAACCCCTCTCAATAATCTACTTCTGATAAGAATTTATTAATATGTGTGTAATTACCATAAGCGCTGGAAACGTATCGTTCAAAAAAAGCTTTATAACAAAGAATCCAGGAATAAAAGGTGGATTCTCGTTGTAGACTGTTGTGTAAATCTGCGAATGTGCTTTGGCGAACGGAAGACCAGAGTTTTTCACAGATTTTGAATTTGAGCTATCATGATCATCTTCGTGGTAAATAGATTCACATAGCGATAGAGATCCCAGCCAATAGTTGTTTCCATAGAAGAAGCCAGATGTATAATGACCGGAAGCATCGTCCACTAGAAATAGAAACCTTATGTTAATTTGAATGGTAAAATATTTATTTAAATTTAAAATAGAAGTACAATATTTAGGAAAAAAAATATAATAATAATGAAGCTCAACTTTACTCGTTAATCTCATATGTCATCTAACACAACAACAATGGATTTATCAGATTTAAAATTTTATATACAAACATCCCTAGGTGTATTAAACAACCCTGAACAAGGTGTATTAAGTTTGCCACGAAGTTGGTAACACACAAAAAAAACGTCGGGTACCCTATAAAGTATATACGTATATACATAAATGATCAGAGCGATGAGCTGAGTCGACTGTTTTTCTGTCTGTCTGTCTGTCTGTGTATATACGTGAACTAGTCTCTTAGTTTTCGAGATATCGATCTGAAATTTCGCACACGCCCTTTTCTTCCCGAGAAGCTGCTCACTTGATCGATCAAACTTAAGTCTTTGTATGAAAAACTGTTTTATTTGACAAGGCTCCTTTACGAAATTTGGCATAACAAATTGTTCAGATCAAAACACTATAGCGTATATCTGCCATTCAAACTGATCGATCAAAATTATAGTTTGCATCAACGTCAACTAGGATCAAAGAATACAATTTTTTTTTAAATTATGAATTGTTACTACTTTTATTCAAATTAAATGTTTAAATTAGTATTTTTATGAATCATTTAACAATGTTCAATTATTTTCCCAGTCACAAATCTAACAGGTGTATCTTTCAAATAACGTAGAGTTATTAAATGGTTAGAGTTTGATTTAAACAGTATGGTCACTTGTAAAATCTATATTACTTGAAAGTTTCCCACTTCCTAAAGACATTTGTTGAGCATTTAAATAACATTGTTGTCAAAGCGTTCTCTTCATTTCTATTAGTTTAAAGTTCATGCTCAAGAGTAAGCGTATGCTCTATTGCGTACTGCGAACACATAACAGAAATTGTTCTAACATGTTTCCGCTTCTTGTCCACAAGTCCAACTATTTCCATTATTTTCAGGACTTGCCTTTTTCTTTACTTCCCATTTTCAGCTCCAGCGATTTTTTTCGAAGTACTTATGAAAACAGCTTGAACGGTTGTAGCTCATGGCTCAGAAATATTACTTTTGTCGTTTAGCTTGTTAACAATCAACAAGTTCTTTTAAGAAGTAAAAATAAACAAATTTAAAAATGTGGACATCCTTCATGTTTACAAGAGATAAATTTTAAACCTTGGTGTCTCCATATCAATAATAAAAAATTTTGACTTGAGCTGTTATCGTTTATGTACTTTAAAACATTAATATTAGTAACAGTAAACACACGTATGTATGTTAATTTTTTAGCAACTACTCAACAGTTGTGTTTAATCGGTCGAGCTACATGTCAGCTGCAGATTTACTTTGAAATTACTTAGTATGTACAGATGTATTTGTACACGTTGTAAGATTGCATAACATAAACCAGATTTGATTTGCAAATTATTTTCAATTTCTTTTTGTATTCTGCTTCCAAAGTGGATTTATATATTTCTCTCTTTCACTTTCGTTTATTATTCGCTTCAGTTTTTTGAGGTCAGATTCGCGCAAATACTGGTCCGAATGTTTACTGTTGCAAATTTTTGCTATTTTGTTACATGAAGCGAGTTCCAAGTGACCAGTTTCAAAAGTTTCATACTTCATACGTATGTATGCTTGAGGTTGCAAGCAGCTTTCCGTTTTTGTTTTGCCACAAATTGGCTTCCAGTTGCTGTCCGACGTCATTGTTTGCAAGTCTTCCGGGCCGGATCACAATATTTCATTGGCAATCTTTTTTTTCATTGTTCGTTAAGCAACGGTTTTCGTTGGTTTCCTAGTAAAGACCTTGGCCAAGAAATTAAGCCAGAAACCGAGGAGGTCAGAAAAATTTGAAGCAAATTCGTTGAATCTTACGTGATTATATACATATAGATGTAAAGTTTATTAATTGCTTTTACGTACTAACATATGTATATATACGTATGTAAGTATAACAGTACGGATTTTGCAACGGTGGACCATAGTTTTCTGCTCAGTGTTACATGCAACTTCCAATTTTTCATAGCAATACGATGACCATGAAATGCCAAACGATGTAGCGACTGTGGCAGCTCCGCTTGCTTATGTAAGACTATTGACTGGAGCTCCATTCAGTCGCATGCAAATATTATTTATATTTGCCACTCGACCGGAACATGGTGGAGTTAACGGCTTCTCTTAAAATCACTAGAATGAACAACAACTTGTTGGTTTTGACAACGCATAACTTGTGTAAATATTTTAAAAGATAACACGAAATTTTCGACTAATAGCAAGCCATATTCGATTCATCCCGAGTTAATAACGCAATTTCAATTTAAGGCGGTAGTAACAATTTAGCCACCTAAGTAAAAAAATTGCAGGGATACTAAATATATGTTAGACTTTAAACAAGGGGATTTTATGCATAGCATTTATTGGTACGGAAATTATATGGAATGAAGATGTTTTAATATTGTTCCAAGATTTGGATGTGGTAAAAGTTGATAGAAATAGAAATTATTATTCATTATCTGAGATGTTTGTAGTTATCGCCCACATTAATTCATTTTCAATTACATCGATTATTTTAAGTTACCTGGATTTTATTACTTTATATCCAATAAAAAGAATATTTCAAATCAGGGCCGTAAGAGTCCAAAGTCTTCAAATATTTGTACTTCTTTTTGTACCCAACACCTTTACCAAACAAAGCACGAATTAAAATATTTATTTCGAGTTAGGGAAAACTTATAATACTATGTCGAAAGTTATTCGAGAATATGTACATAGCAATTACTACCATATTGTGATAAACATTTTAAGGACCCAGGCTAGAAAACTGGTTTATATCCGAGTGGATGTTGTGGAGTAGAAAGTTTTTAGAAGAGTTCAAAAAGCTTTAAAATAATACCTTGATGCTGTGGGTACAGTTCCTTGAAGGACAATGTCGTATTAAATAATAAATTGCACCATCTTTGAACTACTCATACACCCGCGTACTCTCTTGTATCAACTCAGCTCATTAAATGTGTTGTTGCTTTTGCATGTAAATTTGGTAAGAGAGAAGAGCTCAAAGATTGCAGAGTAATGGCGAGTCGAAGACAGCTATTAGTAGCAATGAGATAAGTAGGTCACAGGTTGATTAAGAAAAGCTGAATAATACATTTTACTGGGTTCAATTATTTTAAGATTCCATTTGAAATTTTTAATTTGGTGAAATATTTGTATAAAATATGGTACATTAATTTATTATAAGTATATACGTATGACTTATGATATTTTATATGACGTATTTGAAATAATCTAAAAAATTTACTGTTTATATTCTTACACCATATTTGCAAGGCCAATTTCAGCCTATTGTAAATAAAATAGTTTACCATAAAAGTTATTGCATATCAATTCTAAGTTCCCGCTGTGATATACCCATAGTTGACACTTCGTAATGCATAATCAGAACTCATTCGTATGCGATTTATGAGTTGGGATGTGGCGTAACGATGAAATTAATTTTTAAAAGCAGCTGTTAAGTGTTATTGATTTTCGGAATCTTGGCACACAGTGATATTTATGATTTCTTTCACATACATACATACATACATGCTTATATGTTTATAAATAGCCGGTAATAAATCGTGGTAAATAATTTTTATTAAAATCAGAAAAAGGCTTATACCGTAAATGATAATCAATAAGCAGAACAGAGAGAGTAAAAAGAGCTTTCGCAGTTAAAAGTGAAGAGCAGTCAGAAGGCAATTTGACATCTCTGAATATCGTTATTCTAATAACACTAAAAGTCCATAAAGATGTTGATACATCCATATACTCAATTAATGAATCCATTTTTGCTAGCTGGTGACCGCTTACTGCCTTAAATTATTATATTTTCATAATAGCTTTGAACTAAAATGGAGCGAGATGATTTCCTGCATTCATACGAACACATACACGCATGTAGAAACGTGTGGTACTGGATAAATAGCGACTTATATGCGCTTGAGTAAACACATTGACACGATTTTTCATGCGTCATTCCGTCTTTTTTCGATAGCTGGGTTCATTACTAATAGGTCTACAATGAGCATTAGTTATATATAATATTATGAGCTCTGAGATGTATTTAATTGTCTGAAACATAACCGTGAACTGAGTAAAAGCATTAATGCATTGTTGTACTCGTAGAAGCGAACAAAGTTTGGCCCTGTACAATACGACGGAAAATATTTATTTGCAACTTAACATTTTCGACAAATTATGGTCTTGTCGCAAATAGTAGACGATTGGGTTAATAAATATACATGTGGATACATGGACAAAAAATTCTTTAGTAGGTAAAATCGGCATTGTGTTAAAGGAAAAGGAGTTTCCGCTTAGTCTTATTAGGGCAAAAAAAAAAAATTTTAAACTCGGTAGAAAACATTTCTTGCTAATTTCGAAATTTTTTTTTTATATTTATGAATTTATATAAGCTTGCTAAATTCTGTACATCATATAAAACATCAAAAACTCCACAAAATTATTTTGGTTGACTATATAAAGATATCCAAGACGTGTTGAGCAAATTAATCATGATCGAACTCTCAATTGAAGTTACTGTATTCTCCAGGAATTTAGTGACGATGAAGATATTTAAAAGGATATATGTATGTCTTTTACAACAACCATTTTTTCGAAAAGTCGGTGTATCGTAACATATAATATATAGCTCAATAGCAACTATGCTACATAATAAAACAGACTTTTGATGAAAAAAATGTGTTTCTCTTTAAAATACTATGATCTTTTCAGTCTTTCTGTTAAATATATTTGATACATAAGGGATGCTTACATTATTGACAGATATGTAAGCTAGTTTCTACTCCGTTTGTGCTCCTCTGAATTATCAAGAAAGAGTTTAATGTAAACCTTTACGTACTTCTACGGAATGTAATAGACATTTGTAGGGCAGTAGTGAAAAAAGCGGGGTCCTGGAAGGAT